TAAGCCTCTGCCTGGGACGCAGGCATCCCATACGGGCACCGGTTCATATCCTAGCTGCTCCTCTTCTCATCCAGCTCTCTGCTGTGGCCTGGGAAAGCAGCAGATGGCTCAAGTGCTTGGGCCCCTGCACCAGCATGGGAGACTCGGATGAAGCTCCTGGCTCCTAATGGGCCCAGCTCTGGCCATGGTAGCCACTTGGGGAGTGAAACAGCAGATGGAAGATCTCTGTCTCTCCCTCTCTCTGTCTCTAACTCTACCTCTCAAATAAAAAAAAAAAAAATCTTAAAAAAAAAAAAATCCTAACGGCTAAGGTAATGATGGCCTTAGGAGGTGGAGCACTTGGTGACCAGGTCGGGAGGTAGAGCCCTCGTGGGCGGGGCGGAAGCTGGTGGAAGAGCTCCTTCACACTTTCCAGCAGGAGGCGTGGCCTGCGACCCAGAAAGCCCTCAGCACACACCTGCTTGATCTTGGACTTCAAAGTAGAATTGTGAGAGACGAACTTCTATTTTTATAATCCACCCAATGATCTCTCGTTATAGCCCCCCAGCAAATGAAAACACCCATCATAGTAAGAGAATTTTGATTTTTTTTAAAAAGAATTTGAAAAGTCACATTTCTCCTGCATTAAAACAATGTCTGATGGCTGCTCTGAGCACCCTAGAGTCCCTGTTCTGCATGCGTCACCCTTGTCCACAGGAGGTTAGAACTCTGGTTAGTTCTTTGGTTCTAAAACTTTTTGGTCTAGAACCCCTTTAGACTTAAAATTTACAGAGGAGGGGCAGGTGTTGTGGTGCAGTAGGTCAATCCTCCACCTGCAGTGCCTGCATCCCATATGGACGCCGGTTCGAGTCCCGGCTGCTCCTCTTCCAATCCAGCTCTCTGCTGTGGCCTGGGAAAACAGTATAAGATACATATGCTAGGGCCCCTGCACCCACATGGGAAACCCAGAGGAAGCTCCTGGCTTCTGGCTTGGGATTGGTGCAGCTCTGGCCATTGTGGCCATCTGGGGAGTGAACCAGCAGAGGGAAGACCTCTCTGTCTCTCTCTCACTGTCTGTAACCCTACCTCTCAAATAAATAAATAAATAAAATCTTTAAAAAATTTACAGAGGACATTAAAGCACTTTTGTTTTTCTGGGTTAACTACTGACATAACACTTTATTAGCAATTAAAATTAAGAGCATTTAAAAATCCATAAATTGATTTTAAAATAATAAATCCATTATGTGTTAAGATAGGTAAAATGTTTCTATAAGAATTAACTATATTTTCCAAAATTAAAACAAGTTGTGAGAAAGCATGGAATTGTATTTTGCAAATCTGTTTAATGTTTGATTTGATAGGAGGTAGCTGAATTCTTACATCAATATGTCATGATATTTCTTTTGGTTGAAATGTATAAAGAAAATCTAATCTCATGTAGATATGTTGTTGGAAAAGTTATTTTAAGAGACTTTTTAGATAATTGTGATTTTTTCTTTGATTCTACACCAAAACATAGTAAGTAGTAAATCCTTAAAGGTCAATTATAATGTGGAATCTGAACCATATGAAGGAACTTTTCGGGGCTGGCACTGTGGTGTAGCGGGTAAAGCCGCCGCCTCCCATGCCAGCATCCCATAGGAGTGTTGGTTCAAGTCCCGGCTGCTCTACTTCCGATCCAGCTTTCTGCTTTGGCCTGGAAAGGCAGTATAAGATGGCTCAAGTCCTTGGGCCCCTGCACCCACGTGGGAGACCCAGAAGCAGCTCCTGACTCCTGGCTTTGAATCAGCACAGTTCCAGCTGTTGCGGCCAATTGGGGAGTGAACCATCAGATGGAAGACCTCTCTCTCTCTCTCTTTTTTTTGTACCTCTGCCTCTCTGTAATTCTTTCAAATAAATAAATAAATCTTTAAAAAAAGAACTTTTCATACTGTGACACCAAAAATCACTGCTCTGCCCTGCACTTGATTGGCTTTTTTAACCTAGGCATGATTTTGTAGCATAATGCACTGGTTATTTGACAAATGTTGCTTCACTCAGGTAGCAGAGAGTCAAATGTTAACATTATAAATATCAGAAAATCATATTAGTTTATTTCACTCCAATATTACCATAAAAATCTTTTAAAAAGGTTTATTTTATTTGAAAGGCAGAGTGACACACACACACACAAACACACACACATACAGAGAGAGAGACAGAGAGAGAAAGACAGAGACAGAGACAAAGAAAGCAAACTTCCATCCTCTGATATAGAATGCTGGCATCATAGGCGGTGACTAACTCGTCGGGCCATAACTCTTGCCCCACATAAAAATCTTTATTACTATCAAGCCTGTGGTTGTGCATATACATTTTTCCAAAATTTTTGGAAGCTTTTCTCTAATTTTCTCTTGAAAATTTTATAATTTCATCACTGGCAACCAATACTCTAGCTGCTTGCCTTGAAGGGACAAGTTCACCTCATTCATTTTCAAGAAAATGACTGCCCAATACTTACATCTCAATATTCATATTCACCTGTCATTCTTTCAAGTGAAAATGGTGCTCTATTAAAAACATGGCTAGATCAGTTCCTAAGTCAAGCAATGCTTCCCCTAGAGAGAACCATTGTATTTTTGTACACAGCAAAAGTGCTTATGTGGACTTGCCCTTTTATTACATAGAATGCTAAAAATATGTGTTCTTGCATCTGCATTGGGCTGCAGTGGTTTAAGCCACTGCTTGGGACATCTGTATCCCATATCAGAGTGCCTGGCTTTGAGTCCTACCTCTGCTTCCAATCTATGTTCCTCCCAATGCACACTCTGGGAGGCAGAAGGTGATGGCTCGAATATTTGGGTACTCGCCACCCACATGGGAGACCTGGATGGAACTGGCTCCTGGCTTCTGCCTGGCCCAGCCATGGCTGTTGCAGACATCTGAGGAGCAAACCAGATATTTCTCTCTGTTGCTTGACCTTTCAAATAAATAAAATTCACAATAAACTTAAAAAATAAAAAGATGTGTTCTCAAGGACTAACAAAACAAAGCAAATAATGTTTTGTTCATCAAGAATATTCTTAATCCAAACTAGCATTTTTACACTGCTTGTGTAACAGGGAAGGACGCAGGTGATGGGTGGTACAGTTTGGTGCCACTGTCCACAGTAGAACTAAACTAAAAGCCTCATCATAAAATCCAGGGTTTCCCCTCTTTCCCTTCCAGCTCCTGTCATCCCCTTCCTCCTTCCTGCCCCCAGCCCCTTTTCTGTTTTCTCTCTGCGATTCCACTTCTGATGATGTGGTCATATATCCCTCCCATCTCTTTCTTCGCCCACCCTGGCAATGATTCTGTCAGCTCCCACCGACAAGAGGTAAGGGTCTAGTTTTGGATTCCTTGAATCTGGGCTTAGCCATGGGATTTGCTTTGTCCATTGGAACATGAGCAAATGTGAACCACGCACTTAAAAAGTGCCAGTGTCTTGTGCTTGCCCTGGGAAACCCTGCACCAACCCTAAGGGGCTGGGCCAGCTTGCTAGATGTTGAGACACGCAGATAAATGCCTCCACCCAGACTGATGCAAAACCACCAGCCACGGGAGAACATTCTAGACGATCCAGATTTCACCAGTTAAGCTGAACTTGACAGAAACCAGCAGAAATGCCTAGTTTAGCACAAATTGAAGAGAAATAAAAAAAAGTTGTGTGAAGTCACTAAGTTTTGTGTAGTTTGTTGCACAGCAAAAGCTGTCATTAAAAATACTCTTAGCTATTTTTGTCGTGGTGCACACAGAGCTTCATATTTTTAAGCAACATATACACTCTATTTTCACTAATTCTGATGTTATTTGCTCCCAATATACTGGATGACTTATCACTCTTAAACTGTCATCTGCTCTTCCCCAAATACAGTGTGTTGCGACATACTCCACATGCAGCGTTTGCCTGATTATGCCTACGCAGTTATGACCCACAGCTGAACTCCGTGGTGGCTCTGACTACATTTCTTTTCACAGTAAAGTCACACGTCTCCTACACACACAACGAACACGTGTCAAAGATTCTGTCTGCTCTGAGGAAGGAGAGGCCGGGGAGACGTCAAAGTACCGCCTCTACTGAAGCAGGAATGGGAATGAACTCAGAAACTGATGTCAGATACAGGCTTTTTCCCAGGAGGGCTGAGTCCAGTGAGCACTCCCAGGGCGCAGCAGGGACAAAGGAAGGCGGGGGCCCTACGCAATCCCAACACCAAGGCCGGCTGTTCACTCAAGGCCCCCGACAACCTGTTGGTTCTTTTCCACGTGTCTCACAACTTTTCTCCACAAAAACCACTCTCGTCAGCTGTAAGCAACCAGTTCTCCCACTACTTTCGGTCTCCTTAAGCCCTGCGTCTCTGGCTCCCACCAAGGAGGCGGAAATCCACGCTCTTAACTCCCCCGGGAGCTCCCAATTTCCTCCACACTGCGGGGGCGGCTAGCTAGCCCCGCCCCTCCCCACAGGCCCCACCCACTCACAAGGCCCGCCCCTCCCCCACAAGCCGGCCCAATAATGGAGCCGCACGCAAAGGTCACGTGAGCAGCCGCAGGTCCGAGTCGCCTCTGACGTAATACGTGGCAGAGGCATCACTGGGAAAAGCCTTTCGCGCTCACTTCCTGGCCTCCACGTCATCTCTTGTCTCCCCTCTTGCACTAAATGTCTCTTTCCTTGACGGCCTCACTTCAGGGATGGTGAACTACCGGGCCGCCCTCACCACGAACTCCCCTGGGCTCCCGAGCGGGCCTCTGGCCTCCCTTACCAGGCGGGAACGGATCCGCGCTGAGGGGAGTTGCACTTCTGATTGGCCCTGAGATATTGTCAGTCTCCAAGGTTTTCCAATCAGGAGGCGGGCCCGCTCCGTTTTCCGCTCTCTATTGGTCCGCGTGCCGCGGAAAGTGGAGGAGGAGGAGGGGGTAAGCGGAGGCCGCACGAGAGCGGCGCTCAGTGCGCCGGTGCGGAGGAGCTGTTGGGGCCCGGGCCGGGGGCGGGCTTGAAGACGCGTCGTTTGGCTTGGGACGCCGAGAGTCAACCGCCGGGCGCAACCGCTGCGCGGAAAGCTTTGGTCAGTGACTGGGCCAGCAGCGAGGCCCGCGAGTCTCCCGATGGTGTCCATGACTTTCAAGCGGAGCCGCAGCGACCGGTTCTACAGCACCCGGTGCTGCGGCTGCTGCCATGTTCGCACCGGGACGATCGTCCTGGGCACCTGGTACATGGTAGGTGTGAGGGGCGCCCGGGCCGGCGGGGCGGGGCGTGAGGGGGCGCGTCTCCGTGGGGTCCTCCAGCTCGGGCAGCAGTCCGGGGGCGTCGAGGGAGGAGACTTGCCCCGGGGGTGTTCCGGGGCGGCCGGAGGGACTGGGGTGCTGGGAATGACCCGGCTTGGCCTCCTTTCGCACTTCCGCCCCCGGGTCGGGTGCTGGTGGCGGTGGGTTTTATTCATTTTATATATATATTTTTTTTGAGGAGCAGATCTTGAGGTAACGCATCCCAGTTCCTCTGCCTCGGGGCCGCTCGCGCTGCCGGAGCGCAGCTGGGGTGCGGGCCGCGGGGCCGAGGTGCGCCCGGAGGCGGCACCGCTCGCCGGGATTCGCCCTGAGGCAGCCCCTGGCCTGCCCGCGTTAGCGGATGGCCTGCACTGGGTGGCCGCGGAGGCTGGCGTGCCTGGTGCCGGGATCTCCTCTGTCATCGCCAGTTGACAGTGTGACCCGTAGGAAGACGGTAGTGGCTGCTTCCCGCCGCTTCCGGGATGCGGACACGATTGGAGCCGGTTTGTGAGTTAGGAAAGTGCGATCCTGTTTAGGCAGTCTTGGGTTATTCGGACTTCACGGAAGCTCTGTCAGACTAAATTTGTTGTCGACTCGGCCGCTTTGGCTGACTTTTGTGATTTTTTGTGTGGCAGCAAATACTGTGCCGGTTCTGATGCTTAGTGACCTACAAAAAAAAAAAAAAAAAAAAAGGGAAGAGACTTACCCTAGGCACTCCCTGCCTTCCTACGTGCTGGAGACGTCCCCACCCAGTGTCTGGAAGTCATTGGTAACCACTCAGACAAATACCAGACGAGAATCCGTTAGACAGATACTGTTACATGGCTCGCCCCCAGGGGACCACCTGCCACCACGTTATTCCTGACTGCTCTGTTGTTGTTTTACAGTCTTGCTTCATTAACATACTTAAAAATTAAAAAAACTTGAATGTGTGTAAATGTATTTGTATCACATGGCCATTCACAGACTCTATAATTTTGGACATCAAATAGTTAATGAGTCATCTGCGTTATATTTCTCACTTCCTTTTCTTTCCCCTCCATTATTAAGGGGCTGAGTTTTAATTTCTTTTGTTTGTCCTTAGCTCTGCCTTCCACTCTCCAAAATGAATACTTTAAATCGTTCTCAACCCTACTGTCCTCATCCCAAGTGATTTTCCCTCCTCCTGGGTGGAGGAAGTCCAGTCCTTCATCCTGGGACTCTGGCCTTCAAATTTGGTGTTCCTGTCTCCTCAGCTCTTTCCCTCCGTTCACAGAACAGAGGGTTTCTAACTCTTAAAGAAGAAAATAACCACCATCCTTGTCTCAGCCATCTAAGTGTAATTGGCTGTATTTATGGGCTTAGCTCAAAAATGAATAGCAGGATCAAGTGCGAGTTACAAACAGGAAACTCAAAGTGCAGAGGGGAAAACTTCAGTTAAGGGCATTATTCCTACAAAGTAGGCAGTGAATTTAAATCTCTTCCGCACTTGAAGCTGTTGACGTGAAAAAGGTTCACGCATCTCTCTTTTGAGCTCTTCTTTGCGTGGACTTTTCAGGTTAGTAGAACCTTGTCAACTGCTTCTGTCACCTGTCTTGGTTATGTGATTGATTGAACGTGTGCACTATGAAAGGCTTTGCTTGCTGTACAGAAGGAATGAATCACAGGGCCTGGTGTCGTTGATCCTTTGTGTTCCTGTTCGGGCCACATGGTAGAACTTCAGTGTTTGTTGTCTTGAACTTTACATCTTCCCTCAAGATGCTTCTGGTATTGCATGGCACTTTGGGGCACAGGTTCAGAAACGAAACTTACAGTAACGAGAGAAGGGGAAGGTGATTGGTAATGTCCAATTCTAACCAGCTCAGGGACTGGAGGAAGGCTGTGGGGGGCCCGTGTTGAGCCTAGCAGTTAGCCGTCTGCATTCCCCATCATGGGTTCAGTTCTGGCGGAAGCTCTTGACTCTAACTTCCTGCTACACAGACACTGGGAAGCAGTGTTGATGGCTGAAGTCACCTGTGTGGGAGACCCGGAAAGGCCAGTGGTTTTATTAATTATAATATTGCTGGTGACTTTCAAAAGTGTAGCTTTGATACAGCAATTTAAAGACACAGTTTCTGCCCAGCTGGGGAGACACATAACACTGAGAAATTAGACAAGACCACCTGGACCAAAGTGCAGTATTGTCTCAGCAGTGCGTTTTGTTGCCAGTAGCTTCCTTACTAAGGGAAATACGGGGGTGAGTGGAGTAGGGTGTTACTTCCCTCCCTCTTCCTTGATTCTAGCTGCTGCAATACTTCTGCATCTGCTTGAGAGAGTATCTTATGATTCTCTCAGGTTCCCCCGTAGTCACTAGGCTGTCTGAAGTGGTGATTCCTTATGTGCTGTTTGGAACTTGGTGAGGCCTCTGGATGGGCTCAGACACTGTTAAAATGACTGCGACTGATAGAGTGTCATTGCTTTTCAGCAGCCACTTCTACGGATGGCAATGTGAAGATGTTTGTCAGACTGTATATACGGTATTCATTGCCTTATATTAAGTAGTGCTGGGCAGGACCTAGAGAAAACCAGAACCCATTATTCCGTAGCCTTGCAGTAGTAGCCTTTAGCATTTTAAACTTGAAAGAAGAAAGCCTGGTTTAGTACCTGGTTTAAGCGATACAGAGTTTCAGAATGAGCTCCTTTAAATGCTGACATTTCTAAAGTTTCCCTATCATTTTTTAAGATGATTTTAAACAAGTTTCTTGTCTAACTCAAAATATTTATTGAATGAAAATGGCCTTAAGCATCTGCTGTGAGAGGTTAATGGTGCCCTAATGAGAGTATGTTTTGAGCATTTGTAGTAAGTGTTGGTCTTGGAAAGACGCTGTGACTGATTTTCCATGTGTCTCAACGTTTTTAGAGTATAACCTTAGGTAGCGGGCAGATATGCGAAGACAGGCTTCCTCAGGCTGCATTCCTTTCTGGCCCTCACTCCTGATTCCTATAGAGGAGTGTAGCTTGTTTATGCTTCAGTCAATGTCTCCTCAAGTACCTTGTTTTGTGCCTCTGTGACTGGATATGCGATTCCCTTCTGAAATCATCTTTTCCTGTCATTTTCTAAAAATGGTATTAAGGAAGTTTTAAAACAAAGTAGCAAACTGGCATAAAAATTCCCATTTACTCATCTCTCAGGTTTATCCATTAACAATTTTGTCAATTTCACATTAATTTCTTGGCTGGTAGCTCAGATGTTTTCATGGGGAAGATTTTTCAAGTGTCTGTTGTAGGCACTTATTAAATAGTACTTCTGTTGCATTCTAGTATGATTATCTTTTCTTCCTCCCACATAGGATGGCCTCCCTGAAGGAGGAGGGTAGTGTCTTACCCTATAAAATGTGTGTAGTAGGTAAATTATTAATTAGACCGCTTGAGATGTTCATGAAACAGTAAATGAACCGTCTCCTCCAAGAAAAGTCCCTGAAGAATCTCTAGGATGTGTGTGGCAATGAAATGAGAATGCGGAGAGGAATGACTCTCTGGAGGCTGGGTGTGTCCATGGATGCCGTAGCGTTGCTTTGTACGCAGGATGCTCGAACACATCTGTTTCTCCTTTGTGCGCTTACATAAGGTGGGTAAAGGCTTCAGAAGCATCAGACACCACGTTTGACCCACAAATTGTACATGTCTGCTCCCACGCTGAGTGCTGAGTGGTGTGTCCATTTCCATGCTGTTGACAGGTTGGCTGCATTCTGTATCTTTCCATGTTCCTAGACTTAGAACTTAACCATTCTTTTTTATTTTTAAAATTTTATTTTTTCATTCTCTTTTAATTATATTTTTTTTTAACTTTCCTCCCTGAATACAGTGAAGGGAGAAAAAAATGAATCAGGAACACTCTGGAATAGTTTGTACATAGTTGGGTGTTTTCAGAAAAATTTTATTTGTAAGACTAACTTTTATGCATTCTTTGAAAAATTCAACGTGGTGAAATACCAACTGTAATCAGAAGTAAATTGCTAGGGGGCCAGTGTTGTGGCATGGCTGGTGAAGCCACTGCTTGTGATCCTGGCATCCCCTATGGGAGTGATGGTTCAAATCCTGGCTGTTCCGCTTCCCATCCAGCTCCCTGCTAATGTGCCTGGGAAGGCAGCAGAACATGACCCGAGTCCTTGGGTCCCAGCCACCCACCTGGGAGACCAAGATGGAGTTCCTGCCTTTAGCCTGACCCAGACCTGGCTGTTCTGGCTATTTGGCCAGTGAACTAGTCAGTGGAAGATTTCTCTGTCACTCTGTGTTTCAAATAAACCTTTTAAAAAGTCAATCACTAGGGCCTGTATATGAGTACAGCTTAGGTACTCACCTCTGAATCCTTGACAGTCACAAAGATTTTCCAAAATAATATTTTATTTAAAATGTAAGTTGGGGTTCCAATGAAATATGATAACCTAAAGAAATATAATTAGGGGCCGGTACTGTGGTGGAGTGTGTAAAGCTGCTGCCTGCAGTGCCAGCATCCCATTTGGGCCCTAGTTTGAGTCCCGGCTGCTCCACTTCCCATCCAGCTCTCTGCTATGGCCTAGGAAAGTAATAGAAGATGGCCCAAGTCCTTGGGCCCCTGCACCCATGTGGGAGACCTGGAAGAAGCTCCTGGCTCCAGTTGGGAAGTGAACCAGCAGATGGAAGACCTCTCTTTTTCTCTCTCTGCCTCTGCCTCTCTGTAACTCTGCCTTTCATATACATAAATCTATCTTAAAAAGAAAAAAATATAATTAATGAAGATTTGAGAAAGCTCCTTTGTTCAGTGAAGTAGCACTCACATTTATTTTTATCTTTTCTTGATCCTTTTGTTGAGACTTACGATCTGTTTTATTTAATATTCAGGAGTCTGAACCACAATGAAATGCAATTTGAAGTGTCATTAATTCTAGAAGATAATAGTGGTTGAGGCTTGACTTATGGAAGAGAAGAAAAGAGTTTTTTTAAAAAAATATTTATTTGAAAGGCAGTTATAGAGAGAGAGAGGTAAAGGAGCTTCCACCTGCTGGGTTACTCTCCAGTAGCCTCAGTGGTCAGGGCTGTTTGCACCACAGTGCTGGCCCCAAGAGAATATTTGTGAAATGACTTGCGCTGTTAAGAAAGAAAATGTGCTTACCTGTTCAGGGTAGACAGGAGGGATGCACACAGTAGAGCTGTTGACAGTGCTGTTGATCAGGCTCTAATGTCCTTTGAAAGTATCACTTGTTCAGATTTTCACAAACAGGGACCTTTAAGGCGGGGAGCTATACCACTGTCCTTGGTGAGATTTCTGATTAAATCATTGACATTCAAAGGTGGCAGTGCCTCCTCCTGGGCTTATGCAGAAATTCACTAACAAATGTAGGTGTAGGTAATATTCTTTGTCAGTGGACTTAACAGCCTGGGTTGACTAGGAAAAGGCACCAGATGGGAATGTGTGAAGGGATTTCAACAAAATGTCTGATAGTCTCAAGATGTTCCTCTGGGCCAGATAGAAAAGAACTTTGTTGAAAGGTTGCTGATAATGGGAAGGGGATGGCCTCTGACAACCTTGTCCTCAGCTTTGTCCTGTTCTCTTGTTAGTGACTTCCATGGAGATACTGGTTACAGGCTGATCAGTTTTTCAAATGCCAGAAGCTGAGAGGAGGAGAATCTCTAGGGTATTAGAATCCAGATCCAGGAAGTCTTGAATTAAGTAATAAGATAAAATTTGATTACAAATACATAAAATGCTTTTGCTTGGACCTCTGAATCCAGCCTTACAGTACAAGTGATACTTCAGCAGCAAGTGTGAAAAGGATTTGATATTTTAGGGAGTTACTCTTCTGTGACATTCAGAACACTTAGAGAACCAGTGCAACTTCAGGTTGCCTTCCTTGAAATTCGTTAGCTAGAATGTGGCTACTGAGATTCTGATGTGTTCTGCCCAGGCTGATCTTACCATGTTTTAATAGTGTGTCCATCAAACTGGAGGTTGTATAAAAAGAGCGACAGGGAAATAGATAGCTGGAAAACATGCTAGATAGAAGAGTGGTTTCTGATCCTAAATGTTTATTCTGGAAAAGACAATATTTGGAGGCTACTTTCAGGAGCACTTAGAGGAACGCCTATCTAGAAGGGAAAGCATATTGTCTCAAAGGTGGGATTAAGACCAGTATGTGAAGGGGGTGGAATCAAAGTTTCAGAGAGTCTTTGGCATTTGAGTTGAGCCCAGGAGGAAATCACTGAATGGAGGAAGCCCTGAAGGGCTGTCAGAAATCTATCAGATGGATAAATAAATTGAATGAACTGTACCTTCCTCAGACTCTCAAGTTCTGAGATTGGTAGACGAATGAATACATGTCTGCACATGACGAATAAATACATCTACACATGAACAATTTGTAATGATTCCTTAGTTTGTATTTTTCTGCCATTTTATTCCAGTGATTGGTATTAACACAGGGTCAGACATCTTATCTCTGAAGTGGGTAATTTTAGGTTTGTACTTCATGAAAGTATTTTTCTGTTTACTTTATGAAGTATTTTAAAACTGCTCTCATAGTGGTGATTGCGTATTGCTCTATCTCACAGATGGTCTTCTCCTGGGTTAGACATCCGAAAATTGTGTTGAAGGCTGCTTCCTGGGAGTGATTAACATAACTGATAAAATGCTGTCCTTCACAGGTTGTAAACCTATTGATGGCAATCTTGCTGATCGTGGAGGTGACTCATCCAAACTTAATGCCAGCTGTCAACAACATTCAGTATGAAGTCATTGGTAATTACTACTCATCCGAGAGGATGGCTGGTAGGTTTTTAGCTGAAAAGAAACTATCTCCTGATAGTTTTGTGTCTTAAGTGTATGTATACACTGTTATTTGGGGGGGGGGGTGTCTATTGATTTGTGCTTGTTGCATTTCAGAGGGCTAAATGAATTGCATAAGGTTAACATGGGATAAATTACATTTACGTTAAATCTGCTGAGAGGGAAGAGTATTTTTGATGGATTTTTTCAAAGATATTCATGAGGAATACAGTATAGCATTTCTCACAGAAAACCTAATGGACGTCTAGATTTTTCAGAAATGTGTTTCTTGACTCTGTCAGATACCAGGGAGAGAAGGGAAAGAGGGAAATGAAATTGAACTGTAGATCTGAGTGTCAGTGGACAAGTGTAATTGGGACGAGAGATTCCTCATGGAGCAAATAGACTATTATCACAAAATACTCAATGCAAATCACTTGACTGTTTGGTGATGTCTTTTGCTCAGGGCCACACAATTTTAAATACACTTTTATTGTTTAGATGGAGAAGTATTTGACATTCGAGTTAAAAGTAGAAAAACCTACCTCCATGTAGATTACCCTTTTAAACCTATCTATTCCCTCATAGCAATATCTTTAATTGTTATTTATCTTTTTTCGGCCGGTGCCATAGCTCACTAGGCTAATCCTCTGCCTGCGGCGCTGGCACCCCTGGTTCTAGTCCCGGTTGGGGTGCTGGTTCTATCCCGGTTGCTCCTCTTCCAGTCCAGGTCTCTGCTGTGGCCCGGGAAGGCAGTGGAGGATGGCCTAAGTGCTTGGGTCCTGCACCCACATGGGAGACCATGAGGAAGCTCCTGGCTGCTGGCTTCAGATTGGCGCAGCGCACCAGCCCTGGCGGCCATTTTGGGGGTGAACCAACGGAAAGAAGACCTTTCTCTCTGTCTCTCTCACTGTCTAACTCTGCCTGTCAAAAACATTATTATTTATCTTTTTTCAAAATAAAAGAGCAGAAAAATTCAAGTTGAGATTTTATTCTCTTGTAAACTATGTAAGAAATTTAATATTTGAGCTACATGACATTTATGGCCTTCTCTGATCTATTTATGAAGTTGTGTGTATGTTTGTGTGTGAGTTTATTTGGTTGTTAGTTCAAATAATTCATTGTCCTTCCAGCTAACTTCAGTTTCCAGGAGCCAGGAAGAATTCTGTGGCTGTCAGATAATAGTAGGAAAACACCAACAGTTGTTCCTGCTGTGTGGTTTGTTTTCTTTTTCATGGCAGCCTCTTGATTGTCTTTTCATAAATAGTATAATCCTTGTCAGCTGTCATAGAAGTAACAAGAATATATTAACATTTGTTTTTGAGTAAAACTTTTAACTTCTAATGGCTGTTAGCCTCATGTTGATATTTTTAAAATTTTATTTTGGGCTGTAAAATTTTAATTTATGTGCCAGTTTGAGCATTTTCCCTTGTCATGTAGGTTTCTCTGAAAATTGAGTTGTAGAAAAAGACTTAACGGTTTTCAAGAGTCTTGCTTGGCTAGATGATACGGTTGAAATCCTGAAGTTACTGTACATTGTGTGTGTGTTATTCCCTCTCCCTGTAAAGAAAATCAGATGTGTTCAGTGTTATTTTTATTTGATTATAATTACATCAAAGTCCTTATTCTTGAGAAAATATAAAATACCTAGTTCTTGGTCATAGGAGTTTGCATTTCTTTGGAAGTTGAAATCTGACTTTCCTACAGTTAATTTCTGGTTATTGGCATGATGGCCAGTTTTAAATAATGATGTTTGTGATTCATTATTTTTAATCAGCCAAACAGTATGTCCAAAATACTTCTGCATTATGTTTTCCTCATAATGCACCCAACCTCATGTACATTGACTTGGGGATGTGTAAACACGTGGGAGACCTCAAGAGGAGGTTCCTGTCACAGCAGGTGGAAACCTGCAGTTCATATTGAGGAGTGGAGTCCTTGTATTTTCTTTGCCTTATTAATTCACAGCGTCTGTTCCAGGCATTATATGCCTTCCCCACCTGTCACCACCTCCCCCCATTTTTGCAATTTCTTGCTCCAGTGGAAGACCTTGAACTTCACTTTTTTGTTTCAGTACTTTAGGGAGTTTCTCAAGATGGTGGAATAGGGAGGGAGGTCACTGCTGTAGTCTAGTGAAAGATAGTTAAAAAAAAAAAAAGTGGAGAGAGTGCAATTTCAGGGAAGAGTTAGGGAGAAAACTGCAGAGGAAACTCCACGCCAATTAGAGGGACACTGTGGACCTACTTGGAGGGTATGGACGTGCACAGCTCAGAACCCCAGCAGATGAGAATGCCAGCACCAGCTTTGGAGAGTGAGGTGAGACCAGATGATAGCAGCCCAAGCCATTGGCGATAAAGCTGCGGGAAGAGCCTGGCACAAGTCTGGCTTGGAGCCCTGTGGGAGAACAGAGTACCAGCCAACCTAGAGAGGAAAAAAAAGCTGGGGGCAGGGGAAGAGGCAGAGGCACATTTCTCTCTCCATGGCCACCTAGCACCCATGTCCTGTAACTAGTCAAGAGGGTAGACACCATTTTGGACATACATAACAGCTGTGCCAGCATGTGTCTGCAAGCTGAGCAACCTGCCGAGAGTAAACACTTCAGTCCACCTGGGAGAATTGACAGGAGGCTGGGTGCTCCTATGGGAGCCTTATGTGCCTGGACTTTGAAAACACTGGCTGTGTGGGAGGGTGCAGGGTACAGCTGGGACTTTGGGCAGTCACTGTGAGAGGCTCTACATGCTCAGGGATCCCTGATTGCCTGGCGAGGGTCACTGCTGTGGGATCTGTGCTCACACTGAGGATTCTATGGATCCCTTGTGTGGCTCTTGTGGCAGTGCAAATATGAATTACACCCACTGGGGCTAGCGCCCAGGCATTGATCTCCTTTAAGGAGAAGAGGTCAGTGTGAAAATACTCCAACAACAGAACAAACCTCCCGTCTGATTAAAAAAAAAGAAGAAAAGAAAAAAAGATTTAACATGCCCTACCTCAGTGTCACCTTGAACACTCCCTTCACCCCAAAGCACTGAACTGAGCTCCCTGTTTGATACTATCAAACGACCCAACATATGAGCCTTGGGAGTTCCTGAAGGCGTGGAAAGAAAGAATGGATTAGAAGGTCTGTTTAGTGAAGTAATTAAAGAAAACTTCTCTAGGAGAAGAAAAGGGATGTCCAAGTACAGGAAGCACAGGCTAGGCCATAAAGCAAGTCTCAGCAAATTCAAACAGTGGAAATCATACCATGCATCTTCTCTGACCACAATGGGATGAAGCTTGAAATCAACAACTCGAGAATATCTAGAACATACAAACACATGGAGACTGAACAACATGCTTCTGAATGAACACTGGGTCATAGAAAAAAAACAAAAGAAAAATAAAAAAATTTCTGGAGACAAGTGAAGATGACAATGTACCATAAACTTAAAGGATATAGCAAAAGCAGTGTTACAAGGAAAGTTTATAGCAATTGGTACCTACATCAAGAAATTGGAAAGGCACCAAATAAATGAGCTATCATTGCATAGAAAAGAAACAGCAAATCAAACCCAAAACTAGTAGGAGAAAAGAAGGAATCAAAATTAGATAAGAAATCAACAAAATTGAAACTAAAAAAATGATACAAAAGATCAGCAAAATGAAGAGCTGTTTTTTTGGGGAAAAAAAAGGAATCAACAAAAATTACTACAAAGAGCTGTATTCCAACAAAACAGAGAACCTAGAAGAACTGGATAGATTCCTGGACACACAGAACCTACCTAAATTGAGCCATGAAGACATATAAAACCTAAACAGACCAATAACCAAATGGAAATTGAATCAGTAATAAAGACCCTCCCAGCAAAGAAAAGCCCAGGACCGTATGGCTTCACTGCTAAACTGTAACAGACATTTAAGGAAGAACTAACTTCAATTCTTCTCAAGCTATTCAAAACAATTTAAAGGGAGGAAATCCTCCCAGACTCCTTCTGCGAAGCCAGCATCACCTTAAATTTCTAAACCTGAAAAGGATACAACAGAGAAAGAGAACTACAGACCAATTTCTCTAATGAACGTAGATGCAAAAATCCTCAACAAAATACTAGCCTGTTGTATCCAACATGTGTCAGAAAAGTTATTTACCCAGACCGAGTTGGATTATCCCAGGTATGCAAGGATGGTCCGACATCAAGAAATAAATCAATATGATTTATCACATTAAGAAATTGAAGAACAAAAACCATATGATTATCTCAGTAGATGCAGTGAAGGCATTTGATGAAATGTAACAGCCTTTAATGATGAAAAATTTAAGCAAATTTGGTATAGATGGAACATCCCTCAACACAATAAAACCAATTTATGAAAAATCCAGGGCCAGTGTCCTATTGAACAGGGGAAAGTTGGAAGCATTCCCACTGAGATTGGGAACCAGACATGCATGGCCACTGTCACCATTGCTATTCAGTATACTCCTGGAAGGTTTAGTCAGAGCCATTAGGCAAGAAAAAGAAATCAAAGGGATACAATTTGGGATGGAGGCAGTCAAACTATCCCCATTTGCAAATGACATGATTCTATATATAAAGGGTCTAAAAGACTCCACTATGAGACTTGGAATTCATAGGAAAGTTTGGTAAATTGGCAGGATACGAAATCAACACACAAAAATCAGTAGCCTTTGATATACAGACAATGTCACATCTGAGAAAGGGATTCTACGATCAATCCCATTCCCAGTAGCTAACAAAAAATTTAGTACCTTGGAATAAATTTGACCAAGGGTGTCAAAGATCTTTATGATGAGAATTACAAAACATTTAAAAAGAAATAGAAGATACAAAGAAGTGGAAAAATCTTCCATATTCATGGATTGGAAGAACCAATATCATCAAAATGTCCATACTACCAAAAGCAGTTTACAGATTCAGTGCAATCCCAATCAAAATACCAAGGGCATTCTTCTCAGATCTAGAAAAAATGATGCTGAAATTCATATGAAAACACAGGAGACTCAAATTGCTAATGCAGTCTTATACAACAAAAACAAAGCTGGAGGCATCACAACACCAGATTTCAAGACACACTACAGAACAATAATAATCAAAGCAGCCTCTTAATGGTACAAAAACAGATGGACAGACAAATGGAAGAGAATAGAAACTCCAGAAGTCAACCCACACATCTACAATCAACTTATCTTTGACAAAGGAGCTAAAATCAATCCCTGGAGCAAGGACAGTCTCTTCAACAAATGGTTCTGGGGAAACTGGATCTCCACATGCAGAAGTACGATGCAAGACCCCTACCTTACACCTTACAGAAAAATACACTCAAAATGGATTAAAGACCTAAATCTACAACCCAATACCATCAAATTATTACAAAACATTGGGGACACCCTGCAGGACATTGGCATAAGCAGAGAGTTCTTGGAAAAGACCCCAGAGGCACAGGCAGTAAAAGCCAAAATTAACAAATGGGATTACATAAAATTGAGAATCTTCTGCACTGTGAAAGGAACACTCAGCAAAGTGAAGAGGCAGCTGACAGAATGGGAGAAATTATTTGCAAACTATGCAGCTGATAAAGGATTAATGATCAGAATATATAAAGAGGTCAAGAAACTCAACAACAAAACAGTGCAGTTAAGAAATGGGTAAAGGACTTAAACAGGCATTTTTCAAATGAGGAAATCAGATGGCCAACAGACACATGAAAAAATGCTCAGGATCATTAAGCCATTAAGGAAATGCAAATCAAAACCACAAAAAAAAAATCACCTCACCCCAGTTAGAATGGCTTTTATACAGAAATCAACAAACAAATGCTGGCAAGGATATGGGGATAAAGATACCCTAATCCACTGTACAGCCACTGTGGAGACAGTATGGAGATACCTCAGAAATCTGAATACAGACCTACCATATGGCCCAAGCATCTCACTCCTGGAAATTTACCCAAGGGAAATGAAATCAGCATATGAAAGAGTTACCTGTAGCCCCATGTTTATTGCTGCTCAATTCATAATAGCTAAGATATGGAATCAACACAAATGCCCATCAATTTAAGACTGGATAAAGAAATTAAAGGATATATACACCTTGGGATTCTACACAATGGTAAAATAAAATGAAATCCTATTGTTTGCAACAAAATGGAGGAAATAGGAAAACATCATACTTAATGAGCCAGTCCCAAAAGGACAAATACTGTATGTTCTCTTTGTTCTGTGTTAAATAATAGAGCACCTAAGAGATAATCTATAGAAGTGAAATTGATGCTTTGAAATGCCATGACTTTGGCGGCGCTGCGGCTCAATAGGCTAATCCTCCGCCTGCGGCACCGGCACACCGGGTTCTAGTCCCGTTCGGGGTGCCGGATTCTGTCCCAGTTGCCCCTCTTCCAGGCCAGCCCTCTGCTATGGCCCGGGAGTGCAGTGGAGAATAGCCTAAGTGCTTGGGCCCTGCACCCCATGGGAGACCAGGAGAAGCACCTGGCTCCTGCCTTCGGATCAGTGCGATGCTCCAGCTGCAGCGGGGCGGCCATTGGAGGGTGAACCAACGGCAAAAGGAAGACCTTTCTCTCTGTCTCTCTCACTGTCCACTCTGCCTGTCAAAAAATAAATAAATAAGTAAATTAAAAATTTAAAAAAAAAGAAATGCCATGACTTTGAACAACCCTTGTCTCTACTGTTGAGCAGTTTTTTTCCATACTATTTGTTGTACTTCTTCCCTAGTATAGAGTTAATCAGTGTGTATTAAGTTAATTGAAAATAGATCTTAGTTAAAAAAAAAAAAAGTAAAAATGGGAACAGGAGTGGGAGGAGGAAGAGGGGTAGGAGGTCGGGTACAGTGGGAAGAATTACTGTGTTCCTAAAGTTGTATTCATGAAACGCACAATGTTTGTGTCCCTTAAATAAAAGTTTTCTGGGGGGAAAAAGAAAATAAGCATGCACTGTTCCTTAACAGATTCCTGAAAGCTGATATTGTGAATTACAAATTTGTTTTCCAGTTTAACAGTAGCTTTCTCTTTTTTTATTACAGATTTTATTTATTATTTATTCGAGAGGTAGAGTTACAGATAGAGGGAGAGACAGAGAGAAAGGTCTTCCATCTGCTGCTTCACTCCCCAGTGGTCGCAGCGGCTGGAGCTTGGCAGTTCAGAAGCCAGGAGCTTCTTCTGGGTCTCCCACATGGATGCAGGGGCCAAAACACTTGGACCATCTTGGGCTGCTTTCCCAGGCCATAGCAGGCACGTGGGTCAGAAGAGGAGAAGCCGAGACTAGAACCAGTGCACATGTGGGATGCTGGCACTGCAGGTGGACAATTAACCCACTTTACCACAGCGCCAGCCACAACAGTACCTTTCATGTTTAATTTCATGTTTTGTTTGTATCTGAATTCTTCTAGGTGGTGTTTTACATGCTAGAACAGGGAAGAACTTTAAATTGGTAGCATTTAACTGTCCTATGTACTCTAAGAAAGAAATAGAGCCATTTTTACTTAAATCAGTGCTGAAGGCTGATAATGGTTTGTACTGCTCTGTGATGATATACACATGTTTATCCAGTACTGTGGATATTCTGCAGTTACTCATTCTCTTCATTATTATTGCCCTTCAGTTTCTTAATACTAGTCCAGAGTCATGTAATCAATCATAGATTTGTGCTAAGAAACTCCACAAATCAAGTACAATTTAATATTATTTGGATGGTTTCATTGTTTATGGAAAATTTAGTATCTGTGGATTAGCCAAGAGTTGGAGCAACCTGAAAAAGTATTGAAGAACAAAGAAAATAGACCTGGGGCTGGTGGTGTGGCCCAGTAGGTTAAACCACTTGTGATGCTGGCATCCATTATCAGAGTACTAGTTTGACCTCTGGCTACCCCACTTCCAACCCAGCTCCCTGCTGATGTGTCTGGGAAGGTGGCTGAAGATGGCCCAAGTGCTTGGGCCCCTGCCACCTATGTGGGAGCCCCTCTATGGAGTTTCTGGCTCCTGGCTTCATTTGGGGCATGAACCAGCAGATAGAAGACCGATAGTATTTTCTTTCCTTCCCTCACCCCCTCCCTCCTTCCCTCTCTCCCTCTTTTTCCATCTCCTTCTCTTTTCTTCCTCTCTCCCTCTCCCTCCCTCTCTCCCTCTCTGCCCTGTTGCTTTGCCTTCCAGAGAGAGATAAAATCAGTCTTAAAGAAAATAAGACGTGTTTGACAGAGAATCCAAAGTGAAGGAAGCACCAAGATTGAATGTTTAGGATGCTGGGCTGCAGAGGGAGGACTAACGTGGGACTTTGAATTTCCGGTTGTACTTTATCTAAAGCCGAGATGGCATCTGTAGCATCCTGTGTGTGATACATCTCTGTTTAAGCAAATGTCAGCCTTTCCTTCCAGCTGGACCCTGCTCTTCTCACAAGACCTGCCCTAACGTCCTTGCCTCCATACAGCCCTTGGTTCTCCAGTCGAGGCTGACCGTTTTTTCCTCTGTTGTAGCATCTGCCATGTTGGGCAAGAGTCCTGTGTTTGCATATCTTCAGACCTTGCTTTTAGGGACCTGTCTTCCTAGCGGCTTCCCTGGTTTATGTGCCATCCTCAACAAACGCCAGCGAATTATTGCAGCAATGTAACAAACAGTAGCTCCGTGCACACTTCTTAAGGCTTACTACTTAATATTACAACTTCTCCATCTTAGCCTAAATTCTGTTCATAGCCAATTTTGAAAATATATTTAAGCCTTTTTACAGTATTTTAAGAAGTCTTATTTTGTCATGAAGAATTTTGCTGTTTAAGTAGCTTAATTAGGTTTTTGTTTTTGTTTTTTAGATAATGTCTGCGTTCTTTTTGCTGTCTCTGTGCTGACGTTTATAATCAGTTCGGTGCTGGTATATGGAGCGATTTTTGTAAGTATGCTGTATTTTCAGCCTTTAGAGTTTGGTCTTGACTGAGCATCCTCCATAATTTCCTGTCTGTGGTTATTTTCTTCTGCAGTATCAAGGGGGCTGGTTGATTCCGTTCTTCTGTTACCGGCTTTTTGACTTCGTCCTCAGTTGTCTGGTTGCTGTCAGTTCTCTCACTTACTTGCCAAGAATCAAAGAATATCTGGATCAACTGGTGAGTGTAAATACTGTAAACTTGCTTTTTTCATTTCAGGTAAAATAAGTTGAAGTGCTGAGTCAGCCTTAGGTACTATTTTTAATTCCCTTTTGCTTTTAAAAGTGTCATTAATTAATTTTGCTTTTAACATATTAAAGCCAATAGGGTGAAAATAGAATGTCTGTTGCCATTGCAGTTGAATAATTCAATATTAAAAGTTACTGGGGCCAGTGCTGTGGTGTAGCAGGTTAAGCTGCCACCTGTAGTGCCGGCATCCCTTACGGGTGCCAGTTTGAGTCCCGGCTGCTCCACTTCCGATCCAGCTCTCTGCTTATGGCCTGGGAGAGCAGTGGACGATGGCCCAAGTGCTTGGGCTCCTGCGCCTGTGTGGGAGGCCCGGAAGAAGCTGCTGGCTCCTGGCTTCAGGTTAGCCCAGCCCTGGCCGTTGCGGCCATTTGGGGAGTGAACCAGCAGTTGGAAGATTCTCTCTCTCTCTCTCTCTCTCCCTCTCTCCCTCTCCCTCTCTCCCTCTCTCCCCCTCTCCCCCTCTCCCCCTCTCCCCCTCTCCTCCTCTCCCCTTCTCCCCCTCTCCCCCTCTCCCCCTCTCCCCGTCTCTCTCTCTGCCTCTGCCTCTCTGTAACTCTTCCTTTCAAATAAATAAATCTTTAAAAAAAAAAAAGGTTCCTGAAGCTGGATGTCCTGGAAGTGGTGATCAGCTTCGGTTTTTCAGGGCACCAGCGGTGTAAGGTGACTGCGGTTGATGGTGCTCTTTATCCTTTCAAGCTTCTGCAGCAAATGCGGGAATACCCACTGTGTCTAGCCCTGTTCTAGGCACTGTTGGTGAATGGTATAGTTATAACGATAACTCCTCCTTTAGAGAACAAACATGTATTTGGAGGGTCAACATTATGAAGACATTGTGATAACAAAACTGTCACAAAGTGGCAGGAACATTAATGCCATACAGTGGAGGGGCAGGGGACACTGGGCTGGGGGATGAAGACGGGTTTCATGGAGGAGCCTGGAAGAAGAGTGGGGGCCAAACAGATAAAAGCTGGGTGGAGCATCCTTAGTACATTTCCCAAGTGCTATCTTTTAGAACTTCTCCCTGCACTTAGAGATTTCTCCCCTGGTTTGTTTTGCATAGCACCAAATTTATCATTCATATTAAAAAAGAATTTGTTGCTTGCTTCTTATTTGCAGGGCACTCTGCTAGTTCGTAGGGATGTGTGTGTTAGTGAAGCTAACTTTCTAATGAAGGAATCAGAAATTGCCAGTGACCAACATGTAATTATAGGCTACTGTGTGAGTACCAGAGCAGAGCTGAGAAGTGAGATCGTTGTACCCAGGAGAGAGTGGAACCTAAGAAGAAGAGCAGCAGCAGGTGTTTTAGGTGAAAGGGAGACCTTGGAGGGAAGGAATCTGGTCAGAGACTAAGCTAGCCATGGCGTCGGGCACCTCGGGAGAGGGCAGCAGCAGGTGATGAAGGTAGGTGTTAGCCAGGGGCAGGGCCTGTTGGCCAGGTCTGCCGTGGTCAGCAGCTTCTTTTTTTCTTTTCTTTTTTTTTTTTTTTGACAAGCAGAGTGGACAGGGAGAGAGAGAGACAGAGAGAAAGGTCTTCCTTTTGCCGTTGGTTCACCCTCCAATGGCCGCCGCGGCCGGCGCACCGCGCTGATCCGATGGCAGGAACCAGGTGCTTTTCCTGGTCTCCCATGGGATGCAGGGCCCAAGCACTTGGGCCATCCTCCACTGCACTCCCGGGCCATAGCAGAGAGCTGGCCTGGAAGAGGGGCAACTGGGACAGAATCCGGCGCCCCGACCGGGACTAGAACCCGGTGTGCCAGCGCCGCAAGGCGGAGGATTAGCCTAGTGAGCTGCGGCGCCGGCCCAGCAGCTTCTTAAACAGTGCTCTCTGGTCACATCCTTGCTGGCTGAAAAGTCACACCTACTGCCTCTCTGCCTTCTGAATAAAATCCAGAATCCCCCATGACTGATTCCTTTCTATGGTCATCCTTTTGTTTAGAGATGAAGGTTCAAAGTATAGTCTTGTCCCAAGGAGACACTTGGCTAGGGTTTCGGGCTGGTGTGTGGGTTCTTTTTTCTTGGTCCTTTGGGATTTCTCTTTGTGTTGTTTTCACCATCCTGTTGACAGACCCCAGTGTTGCTCCCCTTTGTTTTATTCACTCAGTACTTCAGACCAGCAAGTACTTCCTCTGCTGGCCAGCTTGTAAATCCTAAATGATTCTTATGCTTTTTTTTTCTTAAGATTTATTTCTTTATTTGAAAGGCAGAGTGACAGAGAAGGATGGAGAAGGAGAGAGAGAATGTGATTTCTCGTCTGCTGGTTCTCTCCCCAGATGGCTGCAGTATCGAGGGCTGGGCCAGGCCAAAGCCAGGAACCAGGAACTCAAACCTGGTCTCCCACACAAGTGCCGGTGCCCAAGTAGTTGAGCCATCATCTGCTGCCTCCCAGGTGCAATAGCAGGAAGCTGAGCAGCCAGGACTCAAACTGGCACTCCGATATGGGCTGTTGGCATCTCAAGTAGAAGCTTAACCCACTGTGCCACAATCCTAAATTTTTCTTTTCTCCCTGAACTTAGCTCAGTGTCTTATTAGACAGAGTCAGTGCTGAATAAGAATTTAAGTGAATATTCTGTAGTAAGTCAGATAATCTTGCCTGGCCTTACAACTAGTGGCATACTGCCTTTTTACTCCTGTCTGATGAGAATCGGGACCCATGAAGCTTTTAGGGGAACAAAAAATTTCTCCATAAAGGACTATCTGGTCCATGGAGCTTGGGTGGATCTCAGTACCTCTTGACTTGCTGACTCAGTGGCCCAGCAACAAATCTGGGGGATCTCCTATAGTGTTTACCAAAGGTCAGGAAGTTGGGAATTAGTGAAAAAGGAAAAAAAGGCTAATTTAGACTCTTCAGGTTTTCAGACAAGCATATTTAAGTTATTAATAGCATGCATTATTGGTGAGGAGCTTAAAAGCACTTTGGATTAGATCTAGTAGAGTATTCAAGTACTGTCTGGGTTACAGAGTACAGGGACTGTCGCTGACTATAAACATGTGTGTGTTTGTTTGAATAGCCTGATTTTCCCTATAAGGACGACCTCCTGTCCTTGGACTCCAGCTGCCTCCTGTTCATTGTTCTGATGTTCTTTGTGGTGTTCATCATTTTTAAGGTAAGTTGCTGACTAAATCTTCGAGGACCTGGGAGACGGACGTTGCCCAGCTACACTTTGTCACTGCCTTAAAAGAGCATCTTTCACCGGCGCCGCGGCTCACTAGGCCAATCCTCCGCCTTGCGGCGCCGGCACACCGGGTTCTAGTCCCGGTCGGGGCGCCGGATTCTGTCCCAGTTGCCCCTCTTCCAGGCCAGCTCTCTGCTGTGGCCAGGGAGTGCAGTGGAGGATGGCCCAGGTGCTTGGGCCCTGCACCCCATGGGAGGCCAGGAAAAGCACCTGGCTCCTGGCTCCTGCCTTTGGATCAGCGCGGTGTGCCGGCTGCAGCGCGCTGGCCGTGGCGGCCATTGGAGGGTGAACCAACGGCAAAGGAAGACCTTTCTCTCTGTCTCTCTCCCTGTCCACTCTGCCTGTCAAAATAAATAATTAAATAATTAAAAAAAAGAGCATCTTTCTGCTTTCAAAAGGGGTAATTCCCAAGACTTGGCAGCCCAGAATTCCCAGGTAGTGCCTGGACCTGAATTGAAACCCCAGCGCTGGTTTCTCTGTAAACTAGTGAGATTCAGAGGAGAGCTGGTAGGAAAAGGGCCTGGCCTGTGCTAGGTCCAGACTGACGTGGGCGCCTTTCTCCATGGAGAACACAGGGGAAGCTTTGTAAGTCACCTGCGTGGAGTTCTAGCTTATGTAAATTTTGTTTTTATCCTTTCAGGCTTATCTAATCTACTGTGTTTGGAACTGCTATAAATATATCAACAACAGAAATTTGCCGGAGATTGCCGTGTACCCCGCCTTTGAAGCACCTCCACAGGTTAACCACTGTTTAAGCTGTTACTGATTGTTCCAGAAGACCTGGCGCTTGCCTTTGTCTTCAGCCTTGTCTCAGGGCGTGAAAAGCTGGACGTGTGGGCTAGAGACCCTGCACTGCTCATCTCACCCACCTTGGTGGTCAGGTTTAGTCATTCATTACTAATCCTGGAAGGGTTGTGTTGGTGGGAAGATAAGGCAGCAAATAGCGATGCTAGACATATATAGCCTCTGGGGAATCTTAAGTTTCATTGACTGAAATTTGTGTTGTTTTCAAAGCAACATTCATATGATCCACAGGGAGAGCTGGCCCATCTGAGGGGGGATGCACACATAGATTCCGTGAGTCTGGGGAGGCGTACCTCTTGGAGCCCGGTCTGCAACAGAGAGTACATGTGACCCCTAGAAGGACATCCTGGCACACTTGGGGTCACTTAGGTCAGAGTGCTGCCCTGCTGCTTAGGTATACGTCTTACTAAGAGGACAGCATATGACTTTGTTAGCTTTTTTTTGTTTGAGAGACAGAGAGTCAGTGATCTCCTGTTTACTGGTTTACCCCCCAAATACCCACAGCAGTTGGGTCTGGGTCAGGCCAAAGCCAGGAACCTGGAACTCCACTCAGGTTTTCCATGTGGGTGGCAGGGACCCGACTACTGGAGCCATCTCTGCCGCCCGCCGTGGTGTGCGTTAGCAGAAAGCGGGGCTAGATGGGTGCCCCAAACCCGGGGATGCTCTGTATGGGATTCAGGTGTCCCAAACAGTGTCTTAACCACTAAACCAAGTGCCTGCCCCGAGTCATTGTCCTTTGACTCCAGATTCGTGGACGCTTAGGATTCAGTGTCTTATTAGAGACTTCTGCAGTGTGGCTCAGCAGGGCCCCTTAGCCCAATCCTCAGCCCCTGAGGTGTGATCAGCACCGGCATTTCATCAGTCACACTGAAACGAGGGGAAAGCGGTGGCACCTGCTGCCTGTCCAGGAGCCCTCGTAATCTCAGGGTCATCCAGAGCAGAACCTTCAGTGTCGGCCCAGGGTCAGAGTTCACTGCCAGGTGGCATCCCAGGGTATTTGGGCATTTCTGCTCTCAGGAGCTGTTAACAGGTGCTTCAGTTCTCTGTAGGTTTGTTCACCCCATGTCTGAAAACTGAATTATTCCAGAATGGTTTTTTAAAGGAGAATAAATCTGATCAGCCTTTTTTCCTCTCTTTAGTATGTTTTGCCAACCTATGAAATGGCCGTGAAGATGCCTGAGAAAGAACCACCGCCTCCTTACTTACCTGCCTGAAGAAACCCTGCCTTTGTCAATAAACCCTATACCAGCTTTCGTCTTGTTTATTTTACAGAGTGCTGCAGTACAGGGCTCTTCAGACTTGTTTGATATAAAATGGTCGTTTGTTCAAGCATTTATTTTCAAACACTAAGGAGCTTTTTTGGACATCTATTAAAAGTCCTTTTTTAAAGTGTATTCCATTTTAATACTTTCTGAAGACAATCTAGGTCATGCAGGAGCAAAGTGCCATTATATGCCTTTAATTGGGGGGCGGGGAGGGAACGGGGTGATTGCCCACACGTTTTCCTTTTTAACTTTGCACTTTCTTTATATAATGTGTGCGTTTTGGTTATTTGGTGCCCTGGGTATTTTCAGGAAGAATGAACTACATATTCAGGATGAATGAGTTGGGTATAAAATCTGAAGTTATCAGCTATGCAAACAGGAAAAATAGATAACATTTTGGTTGACTGTGGATGATGATGGTTGCATGTTTCTAATTTGTATGTTTCCATCTTTGTGATAAGATGCTTTAATAAATCTCTTAAATATTTACTGTTGCCATTTTTTAAGAGAAACTATGACCTTTTTTGTACCTAAAGCCTAACATTTTCCATTGTAATATGTGGTGACTCTTAATGATGGGAATATGTCTGAGAAACATGTCATTTGACAATTTTATCGTTGTGAGGACATCATAGAGTGTACACAAACCTAGGTGGTGTGTCCTCGTGCTACAGTCGAGTGACCTGGTGAAAGTGAGCTGTAACAGGGCCGACTGGTTGACAGTAACCTCTTGTTTTTCTCCTCCAGGCAGTGGCAAGGAAACCATTAACCATTGAGGCCCCAGAGCTTGACAAAAGGCGGTGTCGTGTGTGTGTGTGTGTGTGTGTGTGTGTGTGGTATAGGCGAGGCTGGTAGAAGGGTGCTGGACCTCTCTCTTGGAGCAGAGATTGTCAGAGTGGCTTCAGTTCCCATGGCAGTTGACTGCACAGGACAGAGCACCCACAGTGGATCATTTGTCCCAGTTGTGTTTCTGGGTTACACAATGGAAAGGCTCCATGATGCTCCTCACAGGTGAAGTACCTTCTGTAGCTGTCACCTTACTAAGGTGATAGGAATTTGTCAGCTGCGTAATCCTGTGCGTGGGACCACTGTTGAATACGCAGTGCATTGTTGACCAAAACAGTGACTATGAAGGTCTTTTGTTAAATTTGAGAACATAATGCTAGACTTTTGGTTAGAATGCAATTCTTTAATCCAGTAACTCAGAACTAGTGTCTAAAGTTAGGGTGGAGATAGTGCCTGAATCACAGGCCAGATGCTACTCTAATTGAGTTGATAAAATGAGATGATTAGTGTGGTATGCTTTGTTTTTGTATTGTCATCTTGTACTTAGGTATTGAGCTCATCAAGAGTAATTCAAGTTTAAATGCGTCCAAAAGGACGCCTCAAAAGGAGAATCAAATGAGTCGAAGTCTGAGGAATTAATCTAGAGATGGAATGTTCTGCCTAACTGGGTAATGATGCGATATACTGGAAATCTGCTTAGATTTTGGGTTCTCCACCACACAGTTTGAGATTGACAGGTGGAAGGTGATGGATAGGTTAATTTGTTTGACTAACAGTCATTTCATTAGGACTGTGTATGACAGAACTGTACACCTTGAATTTATACAGTCTTAAAAGGAAGGTGGAGAACCAAAGAGGAGTGAAAAAAACTTCTAGACGCTGCAGTTGATTTTGTCCTGAAGGTGTTCCACCTTGGATCTCGCTAGCAATGCACAGTTGCAGCTTCATACACACCTGCAATACATGAGGGTATTTTATGCATCTTTAAGGGGGTAGCAAAATTGCTACAAACTTTTATGAACACTAACAAAAGAGTGAGCTTTATATTTAGGAAAGTGTAATTATACCTGGGTGTGTACCCCATTTCCAGTAGTGGAAGTTTTATTAATACCTTTATAGGAGTTCCAGAATGGAGGATGACTTTTCTGGGCCAGATCTCACTTCCTGCATTAAAGCCGAAATGGGGAAGGGAGCATGTAGCCTAGTGGTTCAGAGTATGTGGACTGATAACCTGCCTCTGGCTCCTTAACTCTAGCTGCCTGCCAGTGCATACTGTGGGAGCAGCAGGTGATGGCTCAAGTAGTTGGGTTCCTGCTGCCACATGTGGGAGACCTGCCAGCTCCTGGCTTCAGTCCCGGCCATTGTGGGCAGTGGAGAGAATCAGTGAATGGGACTGTGCTTGGGCTGGCATGCTGTCACTCAAGTGAAGTTTCAGATCCATTAAGTTTCCATGTATGTTTCTGCTGTTCAGTGGAGACCTTGTTAAGCAGTATTTAGATAGTAACCGAACTTACATGCTCTTTGGTAGTGATGAAATAACCTCAAATGCTTGAATATATCAGGCTGTTGCTGTGAACAGTTAGGAAGTTTCCCCAAAGGACAACTACCATGTGGTCCAGCAGCCCTATTTCTGGGTATGAATCCAAAGAAATTGAAATGAGGATCTCGAAGATGGTATCATTCCCTTGTTCACTGCAGCCCTAATCAGTATAGTCAAGAAGTGAGAACAGCAGAATTCCATTGACAGAAGAGAGGGTGAAAATTATGTACATCCAATGGAGTAGGAGTCAGCCTTTAAAAAGCAGGTAATTGCACTCCAACAACGTGGGTGAGCCTTGAGAACGTTATGCCGTAAGTGGGGAAAAACAAGTTAGAGACAGACAGTACTGCGTGAGTCCACTTACGCGAGGCTCCTAGAATAGTCAGATTGGTAGAGGCCAAGAGTGGAATGGAAGTCGGCTGGGAGCAATGGGGAGTGCTAATCAGCGGGCACGCGTTTCAGTGAAGCAAGGTGAGTAAGCTCTTGAGATCTCTGCATATTTTTCATGTCAATATACAAACTGAAGAAGGCAAATCTCATGTACTTATAAAATGTAAACAACAGCAACTAAAAGTGTAGGAACCACCCTTGTTTTCAGAACATTTCATTGAGATTGGCCTATCTTGTTAACCTATTCTGTTTCCTTCCATAGTTTGACCTACACCCTTTCCCATGCCATCCTGGGCTTTGGCCCTCTTGGTTTCCTGCCTCAACTTTCACAGGCCAGTGTGAAATGATCTCAAACTCTGTAAGGTTGCATGTGTTCTAGAGGCTTGTCAGACCCTCAGCTTGAGAGTCTGAAGTTCTTAGTCCCCAGTGTTAAGCTTGCGAGCACATACATTCTCCCTGGCATCGAGGGCATATTTGAAGTAACAGGAAGTGTGGCTTTAGGAGTCCCCTGTTGTACCTGATCTGCAGTGTGTCTAAGAGTCAGCACAAGGTCAATTCAGTTCAACCCACATGCTTAGAGCATGAACTCCGAGGTGTTGGAGATGTGGCAATGGCTGAAATAGTGAAACGTTCCTCATCTCAGTGCAGTGGGGAAGGGGGGAATAAATTGCAAACCATCTTCTATCATTGAAGTAACATCACATGAAAGTCAGCCCTCCATATCCATGGAGTCAACCATTCATGGTTGGAAATATCTTTTTAAAAAACTTTAGATTTGAAAAAGTCTTTAGATTTGTGTGGCCGCCTTTGTGGCACAGCAGGTTGACCTGCAGCCTGTGATGCCCGCACCCCACACGAGGGCCAGTTGAGTTCCAGTTGCTCCACTTTTGACCCCGCAAGCTGTTAATGTGCGTGGGAAAGCAGCGGGAGATGACCCAGGTGCTTGAACCCCTAACCCAAGTGGGAGACTCATGAGATTCCAGGTTCCTGGCTTTGGCCTGGCTCAGCTCTGACCTTTGCAGCCATTTGGAGAGTGAACCAGTGGGTGGAAGACTGACCTCTCTGTCTCTGTAATTCTGCCTTTCAGATAAATAAATCTTAAAAAGATGAAGAACATTCCAGACGAGGGCACCTGGTGGGTCTGTTCAGAAAATACTGAGTTTGAGTGATGTGGGTGGGGAGGGAAAGGTGGGAGATGAGCCTTTTTTTTTTTTTTTTTTTTTGACAGACAGAGTGGACAGTGAGAGAGAGAGACAGAGAGAAAGGTCTTCCTTTTGCCGTTGGTTCACCCTCCAATGGCCGCCACGGCCGGCGCGCTGCGGCCGGCGCACCGCACTGATCCGAAGGCAGGAGCCAGGTGCTTCTCCTGGTCTCCCATGGGGTGCAGGGCCCAAGCACTTGGGCCATCCTCCACTACATTCCCTGGCCACAGCAGAGAGCTGGCCTGGAAGAGGGGCAACTGGGACAGAATCCGGTGCCCTGACCGGGACTAGAACCCGGTGTGCCGGTGCCGCAAGGCGGAGGATTAGCCTAGTGAGCCGCGGCGCCGGCCTGTGTTGGCCTTTTTAAAAAATTTTGAAGAGTGACAGCAAGAGATCTTCCATCCACTGGTTCACTCCCCAAGTGCCTGCAACAGCCAGGGCTGGGCCAGGCAGAAGCCAGGAGCCTGAAATTCCATCTGCATCTCCCACATGGTTGAAGAGGTTCTACACTAGAGCCATCTCCCAGGAAGAGTTGGTAGGAAGCTGATTTGAAAGTGGAGTAGCCAGGACTCAACACAGCACACTGACAGGGGATGTGGGCCTCTGAGTGACCTAGCTCGCTGTGCTGCAACACTCACCCTGGATTGGCCTTTATGTCATTGCGATGACTATCTTACTCTTAGTGGACTGGAAGCTACTGGAGGGTTCCAAAGAGATCAGAATTCTGAAATGAGTTAAGGATGTACAATTCTCTGTCTTCTCGTCTAGAAGTCTCAAAGACTTGACAGAGTTGTAAAGAATCAGTGATAGAATTCACGTGCAGCGCTTAGTACAGTGCCTAGCACATCACATAGATACCTACAGATGCTGCTAGGCAAGCTGCAGAGAACAGCTTCAGAGATCCAATGCTGGACTCGGACAAGCTTGGTTTCAAGTCCTACTTCTAGCACAGGTTGATCAGATAAGCGTGGCCCGTTATTTCCCCTTGGTAAGCTTTAATTTGCACAGTGACTTCATAGGATGAAGACAACATTTAAAGTGCTAGGCAAAATGGCAGATGTAATACTCCTAAGTTTTAGAAAGAGTGTTTATGTATACTGAAATATTAAAGAAAAACATTGCTTAAAACCACTTTTTAGCTAACTGGGTGTGTCCTGTAAACTGGCCATTCTTTCCTTGGATCATTTGGCAAATGGACTTTGAGTGAATTAGATCTTGGAGAATTTTTTTTTTTTTTTAATGAATTAGATCTTAGAGAATTTTCCACTGCCCTTCCAGGCCACAGCAAAGAGCTGGATTGGAAGTGGAGCAGCTGGGTCTCAAACCGGCACCTATATGGTATGCTGGCACCTCAGGGGGCGGCTTTACCTGCTACACCACAGCGCCGGCCCCAGATCTTAGAGAATTGTGTGTGTGTATGTGTGTGTGTGTGTGTGTGTGTGTGTGTTGGCCTGCTTCCTGTATTCTTGGTTCCTCCAGCACTAGGACACATCTTCATTGCAGCTCATGTTATATACCGTGTCCCTGTTAGCGGACAACCTGGACATGAGGGCGTCTTACTCATTT